AGGAGTAGGAGACTCAGTAATACAGCAAAGCATAGATGGGAGTGTGCGGTGGAACAGAGACAAGGGGAAAGATCATGGGGAAGCAAGAAATAGAGAAGATAGAAAACAGGAAAGGAAAAGAAATGCATCTCACTAAAGACAGCAAGTTTCACAAGTCACAATCCGCAACAGATGGAGCCTCACAATTCAATGGGCTTATTCTGTGCTTCTACCTTCTCCTCCCCCATACAGCATTCTGATACCGAACAATACAGCCCCTCCAAGGGTATGTCTACACTACCACCCTCGTTCGAACTAGGGTGGTTAATGTAGGCATCCGAAGTTGCAAATGAAGCCCGGGATTTAAATATCCCGGGCTTCATTTGCATCTTGCCGGGCGCCGCCATTTTTAAAGCCCCAGTAGTTCGGACTCGGTGCCCGTGGCTACACGCAGCACGGAGTAGGTAGTTCGGATTAGGCTTCCTATTCCGAACTACCGTTACTCCTCGCGGAATGAGGTGTACCGGTAGTTCAGAATAGACAGCCTAATCCGAACTACCTACTCCATGTCGCGTGTAGCCGCGGGCACGGAGTCCGAACTACCGGGGCTTTAAAAATGGCGGCGCCCGGCAAGATGCAAATGAAGCCCGGGATATTTAAATCCTGGGCTTCATTTGCAACTTCGGATGCCTACATTAACCACCCTAGTTCGAACTAGGGTGGTAGTGTAGACATACCCCCAGTGTGTACACTTTGGGCCTGGTTCTTCATTCTCCTACAACTGTGTAATGTCACTGATTACAATGATTTATTGATTTACACCAGTGAGAGACGAAACAGAAGCTCAGACCCAGATCCTCAAAGATATTTAGAAATCAATGGGAGTTAGGCACTTAAATACGTTCAAGGATTTGGAGTGAGTCTCCCAGCAATAGGCCAAGCCACTCTATTCCGTCTTCTCCTCGCCTCTTGCATGATCTCTGCCTCACCTGGGACAAGAATCAAAGAACTTTCAGGTTGTTTTTCCCCTGTATGATGGACCCTTTTTTCCCCTCCTTTAAATATTCTGAGTATTAATTTGAATACAGAGTCACTTAAGTTTAAGAAAAGATATAGGATAAGATGGCTGATCCTGCCAGCCCCTTCTGATTCAAGCAGGCCTTACTCACCTGCATAGTCCCATTATGGTGAAAGGGACTTCTTGTGTGAGTGGAGTGTTGCAGGTTTGGGCCCAAGATGTGGACTCTGTTTCCTGTTCAGAACATTAGGGTGGGGATTTTTTAAATTTGATTGCTTAAAATTATGTATCTAAATCTATACTTAGGCCCCCAATAAAGGTACCTAAATAAGGACCAAGGGGGTACAGTTTGAAAAGTGCCTATATAATTTAGGAGTCATTTTCAAAAGGAGTTTATGGCCATTTTTTCAAAGATATTTATTTAGGTACCTAAAGATGCAGAAAGGTGCCTAGTGAAATTTTCAAAAGCATCTAACTTAGTTAGGCAACTAAGCACTTCTGAAAATCCCACTAAATGTCTATCTGCACCTTTAGGTGCTTAAATACTTTTTCAAATCTTTCCCTTAGGCACCTGGGAGCCTAAAGACTTGTCTACACACAAAAACAGACCTAGAATGAAGTAGGATATTAATTTAAACTAGATTAATTATTCCATATTAATTACATGGGTAGACGCTCTTATTCTGAAACATGAATGCGTTACTCCAAATTAGTTTATTTCAGTGGCTCAAACTAATCCAAGGAATTCAATGGAATCAGCTAATTCAGCATAAAACACTTATTCTGGAATAAGACTGCTCAGACAGGGCTTCATTAGACCTGCTAAATCAAACTGAGAGGGTGCTCCCGTTGATACCAGTAGTACTGCTGTAAGGGAAGTCGACAGGAGCATGTGCTCCCATAGGCCTCCCACTGTGTGGATGGCTCCAAAATGCTATTTAAGCTACTTTGACTCCAGCTACGTAATTAACATAGCTGGGGTTGTGCATCTTAAGTCAACTTTCCCCATTAGTGTAAACCAGACCACACTGAGTTAATCGGGAACAACTATTCCAGAAAAACTCCCTGTGCAGAAAAGCTTACATTTCACTGCAAGTCAGTGGGATTTAGGATACATTTTTCAAAAGCATATAAATAACTTATCTGCCTGAAACTAATTTTTAAAGGGGATTTAGACTAGGGATGTAAAATTTTGATTATTTGGCTAATCGAATAGTCGATGCAATTTCAACACAAATGAAAGATTACCTGAGCTCCGTAGACCCGTTGCATTGCCTGAAGCAACTGATTTGTATATTCTGTAAGGGTCCCTGCATCTTCTTCAAATACACTAAGCAAGGAGCGAGTCTTTAATAAAAGAAAAAGAAAAAGGAAATATTAAAAAGCTATTTAGCAAAACAAATCACTCAGCAATAATAAGACTGAATATACAGTACATAGCTCCTTTTATCCAACAATAAAAGCCATAACAATTGATCACTATAATGAGATTGGTAAACTGATGCACAAATAAGTGTTGTGACTAAACATTTACACTGAAAGCATTGGCAGAGACCTCCTGATTAAACACAGCCACATTCTTGTTCTTATTAGTAGACGCTCTTTCCAATCGAGTCAGGAATGTTACAAATCCTGAAACTGCTCTTGCTGATTACAGTCATCAAAACCATGCCAAGAACTTATGGTCAAAACACCAACCCTAGTTTAATTTCTCTACTCTTACAACACCTCCTGTAATAAAAACAAATGATCCTCCATCATGCCATCTCAGGAGGCGTCTGTGTTGAACAATTCTTGAAAGGAACGCTGCCAAAACAGACTCAAAATTAGATCCAACAGCACCAAGTTGGTTTGTGACAACAAAGCATACAGGTACACTTAGGCTCTGTCTATACATTACAGTTTAAAGTGCTACCGCAGCAGCACTTTAACACGGCAGCGTGGTCATGGCAAGAGCTCTGGGAGAGAGCTCTCTCAGTGCTCTATGTAAACCACCTCCATAAGGGGAGTAGCTCCCACTGCTGAAGCACTATCCACGCTGATGCCTTACGGCTCTGTAGCTTGCTGTGCAGGGGAGCTGTTTTTTCACACCCCCGAGCAAGAAAGTTACAGCTCAGTAACTTGCCAGTGTAAACAAGCCCTTAGTGCTTCATGTCCATGTCAGCATGTCTTCACTGACATTCTGCTTTGTTCTTGTGAGTAGAGGAGCAGAGTGGAAAACATAACTTGTGTTTTCTTGGAGAAATGCAGCCACTTGGTTTGTTTCAGCAGAACTGCCAAGGACAGCAAACTACATCGTTGCAGTACTATGTTATAAGGGGGAAATCAAGGCCAGGGATTAGTGCTGAGCAAGTGAATTTAATAGATCAGGACAATACAAGGGGAGATAAAATGCTGGACCGGCAGTGCAACTTTGGCAGTATCTCTAAGACATTCTGCACCTTGGAAATTCAAAATGTCCTAACTGGCAAATCCAATCTGTTTGATCCTAAATGGAAAGGTCTTCCCATCTGAACAGCTCAATTATTTTGCATTAGTTCCATCAGTCTGCCATAAACTCTAACGTAAATTCTTAAGTCAGCAGTTTGCAAACTTTTTGGGCTCTGGAGCCCTTTACATGCATAAAAATTTATGCAGTGCCCCAGCAGTCCACTGATTGTATGTGTTGTACTTATCAATGTTTCAAGTTGGTCAACCTCGCGGAGCCCCTGGAGATGTTTCGCGGAACCATGGGGCTCCGCAGAGCACAGTTTGAGAAACACTGTCTTAAGTAATAGCCATATAATATTGGGTCTGACATCTAGACAATGTTTTATTTGTCCTCTTTTAGGCATCTCAAAAGTGCAGGAAGTATCTTGGTACTAACTGTGGGAATTTACTCTACAGTCTTAGGAAGGCTGTTCAGAAGCATTACTATTTGGGAAGATGTCTTGCTTCTCCGAGACATTTACTTTTCTTTGCAAATCCCCAAGCAGAGATTATACATCACTTCTGAGAGATTCAAACCACCTCTCCTGAGATTGTTGGACTAAGACAATGCCTGATTTCATCTACGCTGAGAAGTACCTACTTACAGCTATGAAGTCATGTGGACTAGTAATTAAAGTGGGTAACAAAGTCCTATTGTAGACTCTGCACTGCTGTACAGGCTTACCTTGGGTAAATCACTATTAGGGATCTTAGCAAGTAGTCGACTACCTGATAAGCATAAGCTTATCATTGGGTAGTTGAGTGGAATATTGACTACTTGCTTTCCTCTACCCCTTGCTGCCAGAGCAGCCCCTGTTCATGGTGGACAGGGCTGGCCTCCATGAACAGAGGCTGCTGGACTCAGCGCGAGATGGGACTGAGCACTCCTGGCTCACACTGGTCCGAGATGCTGCACCTCTGCATTTTAAATGTAGTAAGAGCCCGATAGCTCTTACTACATTTAAAATGAAGAGCCGCAGTGCGAGGGGCTTCCAGAGCCAGCTCCTGGAGCTACCCCTGCTGCAGCTCAGCAAAACAGCCCTTATCAACTAATTGTATAGTCGATACAAATTGTATTGACTACACGATTAGTCAGACAACCGCAATTTAATATCCTTAATCAATGTATCTCAACACCACAGTTTACTAATGTTAAATGAGCACATTACTACCTGTCTTAGAAACATTGGTGGGTGAGAGGATAATGTGCATCTGGAAAGAACTTTAAGATTGTGGCATAAAAAGGAGCACTTGGAGTGCAAAATATTGTTTTCCTAAAAACAAGAGCACATCCAAATCAAACAGGGCCAGAATTCAAAACACACCAATAAAAAGGCTATATCGGGCCTGATCCTGCAAGCCCTTGACATGCCGAATTTCCTTTCAATAAAGACCCATGTTGAGAGATTTTCCAAGACAGGACCCCTACCTGGATTTTAATAACTGAAATACATTAATTTGCAAAAACACTTGAATTTTAAGTTGTTGCAATCACTGAATAGAGTTTTGATCATTTAAAACTTCTGTTCACGATAGCCCATTTTTTCCTTCACCTAACACTGAACATTGTTATACTGTGCTGTGGCAAAAGACTGATTGTACAAGACAAAGTAAACAAAAGATCATGATTAAAGGATAAAGCAACAGAATTATGAGAAATGTTAAGCAACAAACTTCTCAGATAAAATATTTTCAAAAAATAGAAACCTAAAATTAGGCTCCTAAGTGTATATTTATATAAGACAGCACACAGATGGCAACTAGATACCTATATGCTATTGCATTTAGTATAGTCGCCTTGAAAAATCCCAGCTTTATTTATTCAGATGTCTAAATATGGAGTTGTTTCTTAATTTTAGGCACCTAATTATTTATTTACTGAATCTTGGCCTCAGCTATTAGCACTTTTGATAAAGAATAATAAACTCTATAAATGATCCAAATAGTTTGTATATATTAGGACTCAAAATCTTTATTATGATTCTTTAAAAGAAAAAAAAAATCACTATTTTAGGCCAGTGTAGCTAGCAATAAACAGATGTATAATTTACTTGTTGCTGTTTTGTCAAATTCTTGCATACAATATAACACTGCAGAAGTGAACCATGGTAATCCAAACATAACCTTTTCAGTTTTCTGTGGAG